GTAATCGACCCTGCCTCAATCACAAATCACTCACCAATCAATTCGGCCCCTGCTCCCATCAGGAAAAAGCGCAAAGGTAAAGCAAAGCATCTGGCCAATGTTAAACCCGCATCTTCTGCAAGTTCACTACCCCATCTTGATAAAAAGCAACCTACGACCAAAGCTCGCAAACGCAAACTCCCAAAAGGATGGGTTGAAGCTGATGTACACATAGAAAACGATGAAGTAGAGGAGGACACCACTCTCACCAAGAAACGCAAATGCCGTAAAGATAACGATAGTCCAACCAATCTGCCCCAGGCAACAGCCTCAACTCGACGCAAAACAAAAGCCTCCACAAATGCCATGACCTTTCCCAATATCGATAAACATCCAAAGACAAAGCCCACACACAAACCCAAGTCAAAAAAAGCATCAACCATAACCAACAACTTGACTCCGATCCCTGACAACATTATCACGTCTGAATTCAAGAGGTTGGAAAAAAACAAAGTATGTCATTTCATATCTAACTAATAACAAATGCTGTCTGTCCACTAACTCGACTTACTTTCATTCATCTTTCATGTCCTCAGTGTCAAAAACCTCTTACCCCCGAGGAAGCAAACAAAGCAGGTCTAATTAAGGAAATTGTCTTGAAGGTATGTATCATGATCTGTTTCATGTAATTGTAATGGTTCAAATCGAACTGAAATTTTCATTCAATATGTAGAAGTGGCCTTTTGTGAAGGATGTGCCACAGTACATCTTCCCCTTCATCAAACAGGCCACCGACGTTCCACGAAACGGACTGTGCGCGTTCTCGTCAGTTGCGGTGTCACTCGGAATGACCCCTGATGCAGCATCAGCGGTTCGAACACAACTTGCACAACATTTCAAGACAAACTACGCCTGGTACAAGGTAAATATTCCCAAATTTGCAATTGATACCGATATTGGGCACATAACTTCAATACTGGAATCGACGGCTCTCACAACCCCACCGGAACTGTGGTTCCCCATGCCGATGGGAGGTTACATCATAGCAAACACCTTCAATCGACCCGTCATCTATTACAGTAAATCCGATGCAAGCTCTAGCTATATCGCACCGTGCATGTCATCTTATCATGCCACATCACCCATCGTGATGGCTTTTATTGAAGAACAACACTTCATTTCACTCGAGCTCGATATCAAAGATCTATTACCCATTCCATTCCTACATCCAGCTTGGAAAGAAGTAAGCTTAGGCCTTGCTCTCCAGTGGATCACGTCACATGAAAATAGTCGGCTCGAATTTATAAAACTGAAGTGGCAACGTGACTGGATTGCAAATAATGATGGCACTTGTGCACAACGGGCAAAGGCTGACATTATTGAGCTGGAAAGCGATGAAGAAGAGGGCAACAATCATATTGATGATGATAAGGCAGATAGTGAAGCCGTGGCTGATGATGATAAGCCTGATGATAACAATTGACCTAGATAATACTTTGTGTTACTTATTAGCTTTTATATGTCCTTGAACTTGAAATACATAATTATCATATCCTTGATTGTTAAAAATCAGGGTTTCAAAAGATTTTCTTAAAAAGTGTATACTACTATACAGTTTACTTACCTACCAGAGTTTTCTACATTGGTCAAGTGCATAAATGCTTCAACTGATGTGACTTGTTTTTCTTTTTCTTTTTGTTTTGAATACAATGAGATTACTACAGTAACCTCTATGAATCAGACCAATATATTCACTTATTTAACCAGGTACTTTGTAATGACTCAGTTGACCATTGAAGCTTTGCAATCCTATTTGGATTTGGAAAGGATACATGTTGAATTGGGAGTGAAACACTCCATAGATGAGGTGAAGACCTCCAAAAGTGTGTTTGTGCCAATTGTGTATACATGGTTTGATGACTCCAAATGTGGCGGGGGTTACAGATTGATTATGGTGTGAATCACTCCCCATACTTTGTGTAGCACTCCAAACTAGGAGTGAATGTGTCACCACATGTTGTTCACTCCGACTTTGGAGTGCTACACGGTGTATGTAGAGTGAAACACTCCAAACTAGGAGTGAATGTGTCACCACATGTTGTTCACTCCGACTTTGGAGTGCTACACGGTGTATGTAGAGTGAAACACTCCAAACTAGGAGTGAATGTGTCACCACATGTTGTTCACTCCGACTTTGGAGTGCTACACGGTGTATGTAGAGTGAAACACTCCAAACTAGGAGTGAATGTGTCACCACATGTTGTTCACTCCGACTTTGGAGTGCTACACGGTGTATGTAGAGTGAAACACTACACATACAACGTGACGCCCTCCAAAGTCGGAGTGAACAATCAGTTGTAACACATTCACTCTTAGTCTGGAGTGTTTCACAAAGTATGGAGAGTGATTCACTCCATATATATCGTGTAGCCCTCCATATTCAGAGTGAACGGCTGAAACACTACCTGCTGTATGTGGAGTGTTTCACTCCATATACAACGTGTAGCCCTCCAGGTTTGGAGTGAACAGCTAAAACACTACAAGCTGTGTATCGAGTGTTTCACTCCATATAAAACGAGTAGCCCTCCATATTCAGAGTGAACAGCTAAAACACTACATGCTGTATATGGAGTGTTTCACTCCATATACAACGTGTAGCCCTCCCCCTCCAGATAAAAATTATAGATTTTTCACGGACTTTAATGTATCACTCCTGTTGTAGAGTGCTTCATCTCACCTATCGAGTGAATCACCCAATAGGTGAGTGAAATCCGGCCACCATATGTGGAGTGAAACTGCAAATCGATTTCACTCCACTCCATGTAGATGACTCACATTCGGATATTACTCACTTTTTTTTGGATATTATTTCACTCTCACATTTGTTTTGGTCACATTGCAAAATTAAGACTTAGTCATCATTGCAATTAGGTAACATATTGCTCATCTCGGCCTAATCATTGCATTTAGGTAAGATACCAATCAACTCCTGGACTTTGATGGCCCGTTGCTCCCGTGCAAATTTGGCAAGCCTCTTATGTCGATACATCTTGACCGAGTTTTCATCTTCATAAGTCTTGACTCGTTTAGCTTTGAATTCTTCCCATACCTTAGGGGTCATTGTTGCTTTCTCCTTATGCAGCAATTGAATACGGCCGACCAGCGTTTCCGAGATTTGACATGAAGACCCAAATTGGGTTACTTCACAATTTGCTGCATCAACTTTCACCCCCTTCATGTCAAATGAAGCCGAAGACGTGGTATAACGAGGGATCTAACAAAACGAGAAGTCAGATTCCATAAACCTCAAGCATTAGTCTCAGTCTGCCAAGTCAAATTGTGAGAACATACCTTGGAGTCCCATAAGATTTCATAAACGCCGTTACAACGAGACAAAGCAACTTTGATACCAAAGTCCTTGACGACAAAATAAAGTCCGTCGACTCGTCCAAGATGCAGCGCCTCCTCCTTAGTGCAAGGCAATCCAGTCTTTCGTATGACCAGGCCAAATAGCCCAAAAGCATATCTAGTGTGGTCCTTATCAGTGTGACTGCGGTTGGCAAACCCATCGCAACTGACAGCTATGTTGGAGGCAAAAACGCGGCCGTTAGGAGTGTCTTGCCACAACTCATCATCAAAGCCAGGAACCTGAGTCATGAGTCCAAGGGCAATGTTCGTCTTGAAGACATACAACGAAAGACTGGCAAATCTTCCTGCTAAAAAGTCACGTATCTTGTGAAATCGGGTCATACGCTCTTTATCAGTCAACATACGATCGAGAACTGTTGCAGTGAATGCGCTCATAGCATAAGCACCTGTCAAAGTCCAATGGGGTTAGTAATTCCATCTACGCTTGAGACAAACATGTTAATGTTATGATAAATCAGACATTTGAATGTAACTTGCCTAATGATTTATCTTTGTCGGTACCTCCTCGCCATCCACAACATCCCATCCATCCACATACATGTTCGCTTTCATCTTCTTCACCGAAATCTTTTGGATTCTTAGGGTCCTTACACTACACAAAATGTTATCTTTACCGGGCGGTAAAGAAAACTACTGACATAGAAAAGTCCTGAGGCAACAGGAAGAGAGCTAAAAATCTGAAAAAATATGCACCTTGTTCCTAGATGTTGGGGCGTCATGATGAGTATTTTTTTGTATTTTACACGCAGATATTGGTTTATGTACTAACAATAAACGCTGAAAATCATCAAAAACTCACATGTAACAATACCTGAAATTTGGCCCTTGATTTTGAAGACAGGATTTTGGAATCTTCAAACATCAATAACTTTTGCAGTTCTGAATCAAATCACTCGATTCAAAGTGCATTCGAAAGGTGAGCCTTTCCTTTACATTTTTCATTGAGACATCACATCTGTAGCTGGTCTACAAAAGATCCTACAGAGCTATTCATGCAGAACTGTTTGAACATATGCAGAGTGTTTAAATGACTAGATAGCACCTTACTAAAATTATGAAGTGTGAAGGAGAATAGTTCAGCCTTTGAATGAACCAAAAATCGAGTTATTTGGAGCAGAATTGCAAAAGTTATTGAAGTTTTTAGACCACAAAATATTGTCTTCATACTCATGACCCAAATTTCAGGTATTGTTACATGTGAGTTTTTGATGATTTTCAGCGTTTATTGTTAGTACATAAACCAATATCTGCGTGCAAAATACAAAAAAATACTCATCATGACGCCCCAACATCTAGGAACAAGGTGCATATTTTTTCAGATTTTTAGCTCTCCTCCTGTTGCCTCAGGACTTTTCTATGTCAGTAGTTTTCTTTACCGCCCGGTAAAGATAACATTTTGTGTAGTGTTAGTGACTGCTTTGTGCGAACCATTGATGGTACATTCGTTACGTGCTTGGGCATGCTGGTAAATGGTGGATATCGAGTTATCAAATTCACTCCTGAGGTCAGCATCCATCGCTTTGAATCGGTTGCATCGAACTGCAATGACTAATGACAAATCTTCCTTGTTGATGACGGCAACAGTTCCATGATAGATCTCAAGCCACTTGATATCCTCGGTTGACATGAGGTTTTCGGAATGCCATCTAAATATAAACTTCGTATTTGCTGGTAGTCCCAACTCTGATGCAAGCTGGCATTTGATTGTCGTGCGCTTTCTGTGATAACGATAAAATGGGCGTCCAATGCCTCCAGTCTTCACTCTCCGCTTCTGATAATTGATATGACATGGTGAGCATTTAGACTTAAAGTTGGCTGGTTTGACGCCGGCAGCGCGTTGCGCAGCTGGATTGCGTGCTTGACCCATTAATCGAAATAGCAGCTGTCAAAATTGACAATGGCAGTAAGTGCGAATCACATTTCTTCAATATGGAGAGGACTTTTGGATGTACTTAATCACCTTATGTATATGTTGTCCGGGCGTCCTAGTGTTTTCGAATCTAATAAGATTGAGCCCGTACTTACCCGTGGGACACCTGAGTAAAAACAGGATCGAGATTAAAAGTAGCAAGTCGAATCGAAGTCGAGATTCCTTGGAGAGGTTTTGGTATCAACGCGGAAGCTAGAATGTCGCGACAGATGGTGATGGCCCGAACTGACCCGTGGTGACACCTCAGTAAGTTGAGTATAGATATTCAAAGTAGTCGATTCGAATACAAAATCCTTTCCGTAAGGGGTATCAACGCGGATGCTAGGAGGGCACGACCGAAGGTGATATTGTGGTTAGATAGTAATATCGGTCAGCTGAAACTCACCTCGTTCATGAAGAATACTTTTGATCTCATGCTCACCTATTACACAAAATTCGTCTTATCTCCTACAGGTTTCTCTCGGCCGAACAACACTGACCAAATGCCGTATGACCTGCCTGTTTGTAGCACAGAGTCCGACAACGAGACAGGCCAATCGGCGACTTTGGTAGCTTGCAGGTGAGGAGTTTGAAGTATGAACAATGGTGTCGCGTGGTGACCAATCGTTGTGACAAATCCTTTGCTGTGGGTTATTAAACTGCTATTTGAAGAATCCAGTCTAGTCAATTCGTTGCGACCTCACACTGATAGTTCGGACAAGGCCGTGACATGGAAACGAACGTACGAAAATCAGATGTGGAGTTCAGGTGGGTCGGAACCTTTGTGAAATCGAAAGATGAGATGAAGAATTAAGCTATTGACCCGTGTAAATGGAATGAATGGGTTTTCACTACTGAACCCTAACCTAGCTAGCTGAAGGTTCAAAATGACCCTTCAGGTAGCTAGAAGTTGAACCTTCAGCTAGCTAGGTTAGGGTAGCCGTGGAGAGTAACCAGGTGCTTAACACTAAGTACTAATATGTCAAGGCTTAAGGTCCGACATACTTACCCGTTGGACGGTGTGGGTTAAAAAATCACAGTGAAGGATTGGTAATATAGTAAAGTGGTAATATGAAACCCCACTTGAAATTCAAATTTGTCATCTGGGGGGGCTCCATATGCCAGTTGGAATACTTCTTGAATGAGTTTGGGAACTTTTTGGAATGGTGTATGAAGTTTAGAGAGGATAATTCAAGGGTTTGTGCAGAAATATTGAAGTGAAGGAGTGGTAATATAGTAAAGTGGTAATATGAAACCCTACTTGAAATTCAAATTTGTCATCTGGGGGGACTCCATATGCCATTTGTAATACTTCTTGAATGTGTTTGGGCACTTTTTGGAATGGAGTATTAAGTTTAGAGAGGTCAATGTAAGGCTTTGTGCAGGAATATGGAAGTGAAGAAGCGGTAATACAGTAAAGTGGTCATAATAAACTCACCTTGAACTGCCATTTTATCATGTGGGGGGACTCCATATGCCATTTGTAATACTTCTTGAATGTGTTTGCGCACTTTTTGGCATGGAGGAATAAGTTTAGAGAGGTGCATATAAGGCTTTGTGCAGAAATATGGAAGTGAAGGTGTGGTAATATAGGGAAGTGGTAATATGAGACTCAATCTGAAATTGGAATTTGTCATCTGGGGGGGCTCCATATGCCATTTGGAATACTTCTTGAATGAGTTTGGGAACTTTTTGGAATGGTGTATGAAGTTTAGAGAGGATAATTCAAGGGTTTGTGCAGAAATATTGAAGTGAAGGAGTTGTAATCTGGTAAAGTGGTATTATGAGACTCAATCTGAAATTGGAAATTGTCATCTGGGGGGGCTCCATATGCCAAATGGCGCACTTGTTGAGTGAGTTTGGGTACTTTGTGGCATGGAGTATGAAGTTTAGAGAGGTTAATTTAAGGGTTTGTGCACACATATAGGGATGAAGGAGTTGTGATCTGGTAAAGTGGTAATATGAAACCCTACTTGAAA